GCCCACGACACCTGTAAAAGATAAAGAACAAGCCAGCGCAAGCCAGGGCACGCCGGAGGAAGAACAGAGCGCGCAAGTAGGTGGAGAAGTAGAGAGCCGCAGCGCAGAACAAGAAGATGAATATGACCATTAAGTCCTCTCGCGACATAAAAATTCATTTCCACATCACTTGCATCTTTTTCTCTCTACCTCCTTTTTGAAAAAATTATGAGAAGATAACGACGGTGGAAACTGAAATACGGTGAGCTTTAAAAAATAGAGGATCGCGATGAGCATGAGAACGTGAGAAAGAAGGGAAAAAACGACCAGCGCACGAAGGCGAAGGCGAAGAGCAAGCAGCGTGACCCAGACAATTCTCAAGACGACGATTGGGAGGAAGAAGAAGAAGACGAGGATTACGAAGAAGAAGATGGAGAAGAATATGAATCTGAATCTGATCATGGACAAGATCGTGAAAGAAGAGATGCACATTCACATGCAGGAGCGCAACCGCAACCGCAGGGTGGACGAGACGGCACGCCAGGAGCCCACCCTCCAGGTAGATTAATATATGTTGTATACATATAATACTCCCCGGGCCGGGGTGCCCCGGGAGACGTTAAGGAAGGGGAAAGGATACTTTAGGGACGTGGGCGGGGGTGAATGGTTTCACAAGGTGAAACAAACGGGCGCCCGAAGGGCGCTCACTCCCCTCCGCGCTGCGGCAAAGGGGAGCGGGGGCGCGCTGGTTTTAAATACAAGAGGAAGGTGGCAGTACTGCCACCAATTCCCCTTGAAAATGTGGCAGCATGAAAGGCCTTCAGTGTTTACATTAAAGGCACCCCGGGGGTCCTTTAGTGTTTACACTAAAGGGGAGGGGAGTCCTTTGGCATTCACATTGAAGGTTTGGCATTCACATTGAAGGCGTCCTGGGGGTCCTTTAGGGTTCACATTAAAGGCCTGCTGTTGCTGTCGTTGTTGCTGCTGTTGCTGTTGTTGCTCTTGTTTTTGTTGCTGCTGTTCTTGCTGTTGTTGTTGTTCTTGCTGTTGGTGTTCTTGCTGCTTCTTGTTGTCCTTGCTGTTGTTGTTGTTCTTGCTGTTCCTGTTGTTGTTCTTGCTGTTCTTGTTGTTGTTCTTGCTGCTGTTCTTGCTGTTGTTGTTCTTCCTCAGGGCCATCTGCTGCCCACATGGAAGGCTTTCAGTGTTTACTTTAAAGGCGTCGTAGGGGTCCTGTAGTGTTTACATTAAGAGCGCCTTAGGGGTCCCTTAGTGTTTACATCACAGGCGGCTTAAGGGTCCCTTAGTGTTCACATTAAAGGGGGGGGAGTCCTTTAGCGTTCACATTAAAGACGTCCTAGGGGTCCTTTAGTGTTCACATTCAAGGCGAAGAGTGTTCGGGGGTTTTTCGTAGTATTTCAGTAGCCGCTGTTGTAGTTGTTGTTGTTTGTTGTTGTTTGTTGCTGTTTGCTGCTCTCTGTTGCTGTCTTGTTGCTGCTGTTTTGTCGTTGCTGCTCTGTTGTTGTTGCTTTGTTGCTGCTGCTTTGTTGTCCCTGCTGCTTTGTTGTTTGTTGCTGCTGTTGTTTTGTTGCTGTCGTTGTTGCTGCTGTAGTTGCTCTTGTTGTTGCTCTTGTTGTTGCTCTTGTTGTTGCTCTTGTTGTTGCTCTTGGTGTTGCTCTTG